GGGGGGGGCTTCAACAACGCCGGTATGTGCCCGGCGAATCGACCGGCGTTATTTAGAGTGAACGGCGCTATTCATTGTACAGAATGACCTGGTGATTCAGTCTGTGCCAAGCGTTGTCACTGGCGCTATACAAGGCCACCGGTGCCAACCGTGTTGTCATTGAGCCCCCCCCGCGCTACTGTACCCCCCCCCCCTCGGTGTTTGCCTTCGGGGTCGGGTTTTCGTCGCTTGGCAACGACGTTGTAAAACAAGCCGATCACTTCGTGAGCTCGGCAACCAGGTTACCATTTTTTCTGTTGCCTCGTGGTTTTTTCTTGCGGTAACCATAATGGTGGTCGAGTAGATCATGTTGTGCGGGGTCGAGAACCCTCACTCCGCGCAAAGGGAATGATCGCACCACGTTGTGTTAAATTGGTCAAGCACCCTCGAGGCAGTTACACAGAGCTTCCAACTATCTCCGGAAGTGAAAGCACCAGAAAATAAATTAAGTCATACGCAGCTGTCATCCGTAAGCAAGGAAGTAAGCACAAGATGCGGACCACCCTTAGCAGGATGCAGCGCACCCTCGATGCGACTCGCCGAATACCTCACGGTGCTTCCGCGCTTGGTGATGTGAGAGCTTGATCCGGTGAGAACCCGGCGTGCTCCGTCCCGGCTTTGCAGGGATGCGAGGTCAATGGTCGAACGACTACGGCATGCACGACTATGAGTACACCCCCCTCCCCCCCCCCTCTACTGTACACTCAAGCGAGAAGACCCCTCCCTCCCCTCTCAACTCACTTGGCTGAGAGAGGACGACCACCACCTCGACCCCCCGCTTGTCCCACGCCTCCACCCGGTCCTTCCACGGCATGCTCTCCTCGTCGCGGCAGCCCCAGTAGAGCTTGCACGAGCGACCAAACACCCCGTCATCATCGGCATCCGGCAGCTCCAGCGCCCCGGACTCGATTGCCGCGCGGAAAGGAGCGATGCTGTTGTTTCCCCGACCCCCACAAAAACAAAAAATGGCGGAAAAAACAACACGGGGACAAATGAGCTATTAGGTTAGCTGCAGGGAGGGCTCGCTCCAACTCGACCATCGAGGGGAAGAACACGGTACAACAATTTGGCCGCGGCACCCACCAGGGAGGACAAGCTCCGAGGCCGTATACTGCCACAAGTTTACTCCGTTGGATGAAACCGTCCTGTGCATCAGCTAGGGCGCGATTCACGGAGCGCTCCATCGCGCTTCTGGCAGCCACAACGCCATAAGCTCAATATTCGGGCAGGAGTTTGTACCATCTATCTCACACGCCGGTTCCAACTCAAGACGGAAATAAGTGTTTCTTTTCCCGAGGCCAACGGGGGGGATTCCCACCGGGAACACCTATCCGTGGGGCATCGTATCACGAAAAGGGAAGGGACGTCGGCACTGCCTTGTCCTACAACCTCCTGCCAATTCGTGCTGTTGCCGCGGGAGAGGGTCTATGCATACGGTCGTTCTTTGCATTTGTCGTCTGCTACACACCGCCAAATGCAGGGAAACCTCCAAAAAAGGAGGGGGGAGGGGGGGAGGGGGTTCTACCCGGATTGGTTCATGCACGACCTTTTCGCAGCATAAGAAATTTTCACAAAAGGGGAGTCACCGATGCAGGTAGGCAACCCGGAAGCTGTTGACCCGGAAAAAAAAAACGAAACCGAATCATCTGTCGCGTCGCAGAAAATTTGTTGTGCCAACCACAAAGCAATGCCTGCGTCTCTTCGACCTGGCCGTCTTGGTGGTTGGTTCAAGCTTCCTCGCGGAACGCAGTTTTGTATCCTGGAAAAAACTCTTTTTCAATATCCGGTGGTCCCTCAGAGGATTCACGTTTCACAGGCTATTTCATTGTTACACGCATGTCTGTTACACGCATGTCATACACGCAACGACCAAAATTTGGGCTGCGTCCTTTCCACTGCCAGCCTTGCGACACCCGAAAACACATGATACAGATAGCACCCATAGGTAACAATTGGCAGTTAACCTCAACGCTACAGATCAAAACTAATGAGAACGTGGACCATCATTTGTGAGCCTGGTCAAGAACCTCAATTATCGCCGCCATTGGTAGCCCACGAGAGGAGCCAAGAACCCCCAAGCCTCCGCCGAAAGTAGAGGTTCAAAAAGTACAGCCGCCACAAGTGTCTGTGACGTAAACACGCCGCACCTCGACCTCAACAGCGCTCTACCTATTTAGTAGCAGATAACACGCACTCACTTACCCGGTGCCCGACGCCGACAGCACGACGTTCTGCACGGGGAAGTCATACTTGTATCCGGTGAAGTTCTCCTTGATGGGGAACCCCTTGCCCATGACGGTAGAAACCTCCACGGAGCCCCCGGCCTTGACCCCGACCAACGCCTTCGTTGCGTCGTTCTCCTTGATCAGGAACTCCAGGGAGCCGCTGCTGTTAACGTAAGGACAAGGACAAGGATGAGGGTTTAGTGCAGGTGGGAAAAAGGAAGACGCAGGGGCGGGGAGTACATGCGTCGCCCCATCAGGAGGGTAAGGATGCGGATGGGGATGAGCACAATGGGGGCGCACAAGAAGAAGCAGGGGGGGGGGGGAGTACAAACAACGAGCGAACACTTTTTGGTCTCAACAACAGGCGTGGCTGATTTGTCTTTGAAAAGCATTTCCACACCTCTGGTGGGGGGTGGATGGGCCTATTGGAGTAGTCGGTGGAGAAGTCCAACATGAGCCCTCCACGGTTTCGCGGAAGGGGATGCGCGAAGGAACAATATCCCGCAACGATTAGTTGGAAGTGGTATGCATACTTCGCTAGGAATATCGTACACAACCAACCAACCCTCCAAGCCTCAGCGTTTGGGTGCTTCCTTGTGTCTACATCTCGACTTGTTTGCGCGCTGCCACTCGGGTCTGCGCTGGAGATGATAAAGTTTCTTTTTCGGAACGTTTTTTGCTCCCACTTGGACTGACCTTGCGGCAGACACATACCGACAGGGATATGCTGGCGATCAGAAAATATGGACAAGAAAGAAAGCCCGTGATGCTATACAGCAGCTGAAGAGGCATGGAGAGCGAGCAAGCGAGCGAGTGAGCGGGGGTGCTGGAAAGTGCACAGCGTGCTCATGCCAAGGCAAGAAACAATGGGAGTCTATTATAGGACAAGAACAAGAAAAAACTGCAAGCTACAGCACGAGTGCGAGTGAGGTGCAATCATTCCCCCCCGAGTGCGGGGTGAGATGGTGGGTTTTCGAGGGGAGTTAAGTTAAGCTCTACAGCAAGAGTGCGGCATTCTCGATCAGATCAGGTCGGACAAGCGTGGTACTGCTGCTGTACCTGGCATCCGGGGGAGAGGCGATCGCGAAGAAGCCCGGCTTAGCGCTGGAGGTCACCTTGATCTGCACGTACTGGCCCGGTGCCGTGTACTCCTTGGCGATGTCCCCGGCGTCGATCGTCAGCGCGTACTGGCCCTCTGCGATCTGAGCAAAGGCAACAGCAGCGATAGCAGCATCAGCAGAATCAGCAGCAGCAGCAGCAGCAACAACAACAACGCCGACCAGAACATACGCAGTACTTTGATACACAGACATGCCAGCTGCGATCTGAGCAAGGGAAACAGCAGCGGCAGCAGCGGCAGCAGCAGCAGCAGCAGCAGCAACCAAAACAACGCCGACCAGAAGGTGAACCAATGCGGTACAGGCATGCCAGCGCTTGTCCAGATAATGGGGTACGCACTCTGCGATCTGAGGACGGGCAACAAGAGCGGCAGCAGCACCAGCAACAAACACAAGTCGCCCCGGCGGTCTAATGGGTACCCTCGCATCCTACTAAGGGTCAGGTCATGGGTTCGAGTCCCGGCAAAAGTGAGTTCTTTTTCTCACTAAATAAATCCTGGTCTAGGTTGGAAGCGACGCGCTGCAGAGCTCGTCGTTAGTAAACTAGATCGACTTCATAAGTCGCGAGGGAAGGGATTGCTGTACCCTTCTCGCGATAAAAATATATCTCAGGCAGGAACCGCAGGAGGGGGTCCAACCCCCCCCTCCTATGTGATCCCGGTTGGGTCGTCTTGCTAGTAGAAGTGGAGGATGGGGGCCAGAGGAGGATGGGGGCCAGAGGGGCAGACAACAGAGTCCAATGATGGGAAAAAAACAAACAAAAACAACAACAACAACAACAACAACGTCGAACAGAGCTCAAACTGCCGTGTTAAACAGACATGCCAGCGCTTGCCCAGATGATGGGGTTGCAACAAACTCACACACTTCGCCGCACCTCGCCGTGCTGCTACACACCATAGCCCGCTGCGGCTTACCACATCAACACTCGGGACTCCCTAACCTCTTGCTGCGGCACACACCGGCGATGCTCACCTTGCCCGTCTCGACTACCTTGGCCTAGGCAGAACGAGGGTGCCGAGACGAAAGTCGCGGGAGAGAAAATACGAGAAAAGCAGAAAGAGGCGGAGGTGGGGAGAGAGCGGGAGGGGGGAGCGAAAATAGGGTTGGATTGAGACAAACGGTGGGATAGTGCCTATTTCCTCACGATGAAAAGCGAAGGCATGTATACAATTGTATGCATGCTCGATGGAGACGAAGAGCTTGACCCCCGAATCGGAGCTCTTCAGCCAGAGTATCAAGGCAGGAAGCAAATACGTAGCAGGACGGACCCACGGTTTAGACGGCGTGACGACGGATAAGGATTGATCATCGAAAAGCAGATCCCGCTCGCCTACATGTATTGCTTTTTAGTTTTTACGCGCATTCTCGACGTTGAAACAGCACTTTTCTTTTTCAGCGTTTGAAATATTTGGCAGCGGCTCAACTCGTCTGTTCTTGCACCACAACCTGCGTTGTAAAGCTGTGCACCCGGAAGAGCTAAAGGCCACGCGCACGCACCACTTTGGGCACAAATACAGCTTCGACGATCATGTCCGTCCGCCTACTGCTGTATATAGCAAGGGTTGGTACTGCAGACAGCAATTCATGATCACGAACGTGCCGCGACATGCAGTATGCGGAATATTCACCAATGGCAGCGGAAGGGAATCACCCGAACATGACAACAGCAGCGGTTGATGTGATGGCAGCGACGGGATAAAGCGCTACGCCTGCGGTCCAGAGCAGTTGCTGAAATCATGCGCTTGTGCAATGGGGTGTATGTATCCCAGCTAGGAAGTACGGCGTAAGACTAGATAGCAAAACGGCAAATTTTGAATTGGTTGTTCTGTCGTATGCATATGCATATGTACATCCTCTTCCAAGAGTCATCGCTCCCATCGCTCTGAGGTCCGCCAGCTGCCAGCGGAGAGAGAGAGGCGGTTCAAATGTTGAAATCGTGACTTGTGTGTAGCACACCAGGTGGGAAGGCCACACAATCAAAACGGCGATCGAGTATGTCCGTCGAGAACACGGTCAACCGTCCAGCCCTCTCGCCTCTCTTCTTATCACCTACGAAGTACCCGGTACAAAAAGCTGTATGTCGTGCGACATTTTGTTTCCATTCCTCTCACGAACCGCCGCCGCAGGCACCCGCGGTACTGCTGTTCTCAATACCTCAAACTTCGGCCCTGATCAACCTACCGCCCAACTACACTGCTTAAACCGCGCCTTTAAACCCTCTCACCATCCCTCCGCTCTGGTGGTTGCGTACACACCTTACTGAAGACCACGTCGTCTCCCCACCCCATCTTCGTCACCACAACCCGCCCGGCGGTCCTCCTCTCCGCTCTTGGCGCCGGCACCGATGCTGCTGCTCTCGTTGCTACCGAGGACGAGGAGGAAAACCCCCCCCACGGGGATCGAGGCTGCGAGACGGGGACATGGCCGACGAACGCTTGGGCCCCCCCGGCGAGGAAGCACAGCGAGAGAGCGAGAGAAGACTTCATATCTCCCCAGTCGCACAGGTGTCTAACTACGGTACAGAAGATGCCCCAGCAGCGTGGTGCTCACACACATGCGCAATCATGTGTGTGAGGCCAGCTCTTACACTACGAAACCCTGAGAGGGGGGATCGGGGACTGATCGGGAGATGCAAAAAAAAAGAAATGCGGCAATGTCGTTGTTGTCGTGTGTGTTAAATAGGTGTTATGTAGGTGTGGGGTGGCCTTTCGCTTCACCCATAGCGTGTGTGCTGGGGTGTAGGGTGACTTTTCGCTTCACGTTCGGTTGCTGTAGTGGACCCAGAGGAGAAAATCAGCCGGGATTCGGCGCGACAGAGAATGGAAAGAGGGGAAGAAAACAACAGCGAACATCTCTCATCATGAACGGGTGCGTGTGTCGCGGGACGCGGGACTTCAGCACACTTGGCTCGGTCACTCAGTCGACAAAACAAACAACGGCGTCAAGAAGAAGCTTCGAGCGAGCGATCCCATGATGGTCACAGCCTTGATTGAGCCTTTGGTGGCTGGCAACTGCGACCGCCCGGCGTGGCGTGCTATGTACAACAGTCGAGACGTTGGCCTCTGTTTCGTGTGCACCGACGAGTTGTACCTGCTTCAAGCGGGCGAACCAACAGCATAGACGCCACAATCTCGGAGCAGATTATCCTCTTCCTCTCTTACCCCCTTGTAGAATATTCGAAACGTTGTGCTACCCCGTTTCGTCAAACACACAGACGAGTTGTACTTGCTTCAAGCGGGCGAACCAACAGCATAGATGCCACAATCTCGGAGCAGATTATTCTCTTCCTCTCTTACCCCCTCTTGTACAATATTCGAAACGTTGTGCTACCCCGTTTCGTCGAACACCAGCGTACCGTTGAGGTCGAGAAACTACTCCCACTGCACTTCTCGCATCACTTCACAACGTCATGATCGAATTACATGGGCAGCCCCCGCCACCGAAAGACCACTAGCTAGCTCCCTCCCGGTTAGATCTACATCCGGCCCTCCCCCTAGCAAAAGAGTAAGTGCCGTTCCAAAGCGCCTCCCTTTGAATCACAGGAACCGAATAGTATCTATAGCTGCTCATAATCACGATAATATTGTACATGCGATCTCCGCGCCTCTCCGTGATACAGGGGCACACACACGCCCAAGAAAACACGCATCCGTTGAGACAGTTGAGACGCTCTTCGTCTCATCAAAATATGTACAGTGTACATCACCGCACAACGCACGTTTTCTGCCACCTGGGCGGGAACCCGTTGACACCTGTCGCCAGTGGGTAGTTGACAGGCAAGAACGCTCCACCCGGGATAAACGGCATGTGTCCTGGCGCACGGGGTACACCCCACCCGCCGCAGCCGCCGCCGCCGCATCCTCCCGCGTACCTCGGGTCGTGGTAAATCGAAGGTTGTGGTACCGGTGGCAGCGGCACCGGGGCTTGGGACGGGCGGAACACGCCTGCTCTTCCTCCCCCGACATATCCACCCTGGTGCGTCTGCCTTGTCGAGGACCCCGAAGGGAAGTACTGAGAGGGTGCGACACCTACTCCCCCCACGCCCCACGACTGCTGGTGCTGCGGGTATACCCGGAACTGCGGGTGCGGGCGCGGCAGCACCAGGTTGTTCGCCGCGGCGGGGAGGTGGTGGTGCCCCCATGCAAGCGGCACGCCGGTGTGGTGTTGGTGGCGGTGTCCCTGGCGGAGGGAAGAAGAAGATCCGTGGCTCCTGCTGCCGCTGTGGTGCCCACCGTGGCAGGCATTCGTCCTGCCCTGGCCTTGGGGACCGCGGGGGTTGAATCGGCGTTGTCGGTGGGCGAACGGCGGGACCCCCCCCCGTGCAGTGTTGGTGGCCCTGTGGGAATTGGTGACACGGTCGGCGTCCATTCTTGCACCACCGGCCGCGTTCCTCCTGGTGGTGGACCTCCTCGGCGCAGGACCCGCAGGGAGTCGGTTGCTGTGGTGCGACGTGCGAAGCCCCCCTCCGTCACCTCCTCCAACGACATAGGGAGCGGCATCGTTCACCGCCAACGCCCGTGGCACCAACCCTGTCCCTCGGCCTCCTTTTGCCTTTACCACTCCATGTGCCGCCGCTACATCGCCGGTGCGTGGTGACCTTCGCCTCGCTGGATACTGCAGGAGGCGTGCTTGGCTGTCCACCACTCTCCTTCCTCCTCCCACCGCCGCCGTCACCGCCACCCCTCCCCCCGCACCAGCAGACACCGGCATCACCGCCGCGGACCCCCCGGTAACAACTTCGCTCTGGACAACCGATGCTGTGCTTGCGACCGGCACAACATGGTGACTACCCCCGCTGCGACCGTTATGGGACGGTATTCCTCCAGAAACAACTCCCAACACGGGCACGGAACCTTCCTGGAGGGGTCGGGATACGGTCGACCTCTGTACGTCGGTGGCTGGCGTCGCCAGTGGAGCAAGAGCTGAACGTCCGCCTCCTCCTCCCTCCTCCTCCTCAGCAGCAGCACTACCGTCGGCTGTTTCCCTCGAAACGGCGGGGCCCACCGCCACCTCCGGGATGATCGACGGGATGACGTTTACCCCTGCAACGGCCGCGACCTGCTGTGGAACGGCGCTCCCGCGTCCTTCGAAAGCTCCAGACACCGGCTCGAGGGTAGCGGGCAGCGGCGGCGGCGGGTGGGGCGCTCCGTGGTCGTCGGCGACGCCACCCTTTCCGGCGCCTGTGCTGACCGTTCGGGACGCCCCCCCCCCAGCCACCGCTGCCATCGCCGCCAAGATGACGCCCCGGGTCTCGATCTCGAGCAGGCACTCGTTCATGTCGTCCAACTCGGCGAGCATCTCGGCCATGGGAGGTCGCTTGGTCGGGTCTGGCGAGAGCGCCTTGGCGAGAAGGATGATTACCTTACAAGCACAGGCGGTAACGGAAAGAGGGAGGACGGAGGAGAACAGATGGTCAAAAGAAGAGTGATAAGCTGGAGAAGGCAACGTGCAATAAGGGGCGCAACACTCACTCCAATCTCACCTCTAAATGGCTTTTCGGCGGGGTCATAAAATCGCTTGTTGCCTGAGACTGAAAATAAACGTGCGTGTGAAAATAAGGTCTTCTATCAGCGGCTCAGTCATTTGTTTGTCGTTTCGGACGCGATCAGTCTCGGTTTCTCGGGCTGACAGGCTTTCCACGCGGTTTAAGGAGTACCAGGTGCAGAGTCAACACGCCTTGGTCATATACCCTCGCGGATGTATTGTGAACGGGGTGCAGGCTGAAATCACTACCAAGGGCATGGATGGATGGGTGAAACAACTTGGAAGTTACACGCGCTTCCTAAGCTAGATTCCGAAGGTCCATGGTCCTTTCGGTTGGAGACTCTTGATTTGGTCAAAACCGGTGACAGGTGGTGCATAGAACGAAACGTTCAAGGTATGCACGATAGACTATGTTCATCATGAATAGCGGTATCAGTATTGTTTCGTTGGTCTAGCGGTTCGCCGTTGATCCATGAGATCAATAGTTTGCACAAATGTTCCATACTCCGAAAATACTGTCGTTCGGTGCTCTCACCTTCTCCTTGACTCCGTCGGTGAGGCCGTCATACAGGTGCTCCGGATTGAGCAGGGCTGCGCGGGCGCGAGGGTCGATCTGGTTGCGAAGCGTCACCTCGTCCTGCACATGTAGATATTGTTTCGGACAGGTACAGCAGGGCATTCGATGGCGTGGCACGGACGGGGAAACGGGGGCGTGAGGAGTTGAGGGCACGGCGGCTCTTTTTATTCCCTTGCCCAAACGACCGCCAACTTCTAGCGTCAAACCGCATGACAGGAACGAACCGCTCAGCCAGGCGAAGGGTATAGGACTTGAAAAACGTGCAGGTTTTACATCCATCCAGGATCGATTTGATGGGGGAGCATAGGTCATATTGGTGAGTTTACGCCGACGGGGGTATAGAAACCAACCTGACGGTGGTCGACAAGGACACGACCTTGACCTGGGAAGCAGTTTGGCTGGCACCACTACTGCAGGGGAAGAGTCTCATCGATTGGTTCTCGTTCTCAGCTTGATCGGTGGTCGGTCTTAAAATGAGTGAGAGTTTGGCTGGCACCACTAGGGGTAAAGTCTCATCGATTGGGTATCTCATTCATTCTTGACCACACTCGCTCACCTCTCACAACACCAACACCAACACACCAACACCACGCCATACTATGCCATATCCGTCTCACCCTCGCACACGTATTGAAATACTACTGCTCTACATGGCCCAAACGACCAGCCGTGGTACTTGCTTGCTCTCGAAAAGGAGATAGATGCCGAGAATCGACGAAGATGGTATGTTCCATCATCGTAGAAGTAAGTGATGATACCAACACCACCAACTCGGCCATACCATGTAGTGCTTAAGCCCGCCGTTGCTGCCTGCCTCGCTGCCTCACGCGAATACCACTGGCCGTACACGGAAGTTTTCCCCCATCATGGCAAGGGGGGGGAGGGGTGTGAAATGTTGCCTGCTGCTGCTTCGGTTTGACTCACCATAAAATGGTGCTTGGAAGCAACAGAAGCATTTCTCCCTTCCATCTTGCTGATGATTTCCTTGTCGCCATCCGTCTGGACCGCCTGAGACAATACATATATATATGTTGCGGATAGCGCAAAGACGATACATTTCTCTCTTAGCCAGTAGTTGGAAACAAATGTAATCGCAACAAGTTTAGAAGCAGCGGATCGACGAGGGAAATGGAAATCAGCTTGAAATCGAGCATATTGCAAAGTGGATTGCCGTGGTACCAAGTCACCGCCTCTATCACGCGAGAATATCGAAGGGCAACATATCCATCGCCACCAGCAACAACAGCAACTACAGCGCGCATCACCAGCACCCACCTGGCTGAACCACATATTGCTACTCTTCCACTCGTTCTTCGTTAGCGTCAGCAATACCATGTGCGCCAGAGCGAACACGTCCTGAGACGGCTCGCACGCGACCTCCCGGCTCATCATCCCTTCTGGCACCTGGCCTCCGATCGTGCCCTGCCCCCTCCTCATGTCTCCGTGAGCTGCACGCCGCAAGAAACA